GCTCAGAAGGCGAGACAGTACTTCACCCCGGACGTTCTTTAGTCCGAACTAGTTCGGACAAATACCTGCAGCTGAGTTTCATTATCGAACATCAAGGCAGAAACCACAACTGAGCGTTATTTGAGGCAATTTTTGCCGCGCAACACCACTATGTGGAACCAGCTGTCCATTGAAGTATTTCCGAACCAATTCGACTTAGGGTCCTTCAAGAAAAGAGCGTACCAATTTTAAAAAGGCTGGCAGCTTGCAATCCTTCTGGCAGTGTGAGTGTCCATGGACGGTATCACTTAACATCAGGTGAGCCTCCTGCCCGTTTGCCTCCTGTAACATAAAAAAAAAGGATGCATGAACTTTGTTTTAATATACATGTGGGACAATAAGTTGAAATCTTGTAGCTTTGTTTCAGCTTTCATGATAAAATGATTAGTTACTAGGCATGAATCGTCTGCAATATGAAATATCTGACATTATTTTATTTCGTGCAAAGATCCAATAACTGAGCCCTGCGGCATCCCAACTAAGATATTTTCTTTATTGCGTTCTGTCCTATGTTGCAGATAGTTTTCACAATACATAACAATATATTAACGCATTAAAAAACAATTTTCCAAGTCACTCAACATTGCAGAATATTTTAAATCGCCTGAAACTTTTATACAAGCAATGTATGTTTTTTGTTAACCGTAGTTAGCAAACATCCGTTTTGTACATATGCTATGCGTTAAAGGTTAGTGGACTCAGTTTCCACACTAAGTCTCTCACTAGGTCCGTTGTGCGTAACTGGCTAACTAAGCCAGCGTAGCTCCTTTCAGAAGCACAGAAGTCTCCTGGGCACTTCGCAAGTTTCACGACCTCACTGCTCCGAGGATTTCTGAACGTTGGTTAGCCACAGCCACGCATTGCGCATGCATACTATGCTATTAGTATATAATTATTATTATACAAAATATAGTTTTGTAATCTTACAGAGCCTACCAGTATTTCAAGAGAAATACGTGGTGTAGTTAAACAGTCACTTTTCACAGGCACCAAACTATTGTCGGGGAACTCAGTATTCAGCTTAACTCAGCCTTAATTATCACTTCCGGTGTAAGAAACTACTAGAAATACTGATAAGTCGCTCGCTGCCCCTATGTGGGTAAATAAAAAATTAAGTTTGCATTAAGTTCATATTGCGTTGTTTAATTTTCAACAACTTAAACGAAGTATCCTCGACTACACTTACCAGTGAGTGGCCGGCCCGAAGGGGCTGATGTTGTCTTTATATTCATGGACCTCATTGCAGTGATTGTATGCGAAGATTGTAAGTGTCTGTACAGCTTGATTCCCAGTATAAGGATAATTGTTACTGGTTGGAAGATATAGAAGATACATTTCTATCTCATTGAAACCTATAAAATCCTCACTGGCCACTATAATGTTACAGGAATAAAGAAGCTCTTTATTTTAAGTGAAAATACACATTTATTTAAAACTTAAGACCACTCAACATAACACAAATTCCCTAAAGAACTTTCTCCCAAACAGAGTAGTGGCCGACTGGAATAGGTTTCCGGAAAGTGTAATCAGTGCACCATCTTTGAACTCTTTTAAATAGATTGGATAGTTTCTCCAAATCTCAAAATACGCGTGCATCAGCTTATTAAGCTGCTAAAAAATACAGAGCTGCAGAATTATATTATCTACCCTATGTTCGAGCGCACCACCTCTATGTCTCGCGTCGTCCGTGTCTCTCTCCAGCTGCGCACTGAAGTATTTCCCACTCAATTCGACTAAGGGTCTTTCAAGAAAAAAAGAGGGCTCACGTGCCTTATTCAGCCGTCCTTCTGTAGGTTCGCGTGCGATATAGCGATCTTATCGGGCCTTCGTTCCAGCATAGTATTAGAGTGAAATAAGGAGTCTGCGTATACAGCCGAGACTGTCTGATGTGGCACTTGAAGAACATTATTTGTATGTTGGATACAATTCACTTTCACATTTATACTTATTGCTTTCTCGCTTACGTCAGTGTCTAAAGATCCTTGTACAAATAACAAAGGTAGGTAACATATGCAAGAAGAAGTGAGTCAAGTTTTCCACTAGTTTAATACTTTCTTGCTTGCTCTTGCTACGTAGTAGTTGATACGTAGTAGTCTTGCTGGTGTTGTATCTCCGGGCTTTATTAGCGTTGTACCGCAGGTAAAGATTAAAAAAAACTATATTATGTAAACAACGAATATACTTTTTCTTAAATGTTTCACTCGAACACAATAGATAGGGAATAGTTGTCTACAAATTTAATTTACCCACTTGAAATAGTACTTGTAATACACATGGTAATTATATAATTATTATATAAAAATGTTATAATCTTAAGTAAAGTTAGGTTGTTTTGTCCTATGATGTCTCATTGAAGAAACTATATAGAGTAGAATCGACACTATTTTGTTCTGCTGAAGTCACCATTCAAGCCTGCAGCCTGCCCACCGCCACGTAGATGTCACAGCCCTTACTACGTCGCTCTGGCCTATTTTTTCGGCTCCAAAAGTCTTTTGAGTGCTACAGATAGGGGTCGCATTATCTCTCCATTCGCTCCAAAATCTACCCATGCATGCGAATCACGTCTCTTGACATCAGCTTGAATTCCACATACCGTCCATATTGAATAGTTCAGGCTTTATCTCATCTCGAATCTAATCTAGAAACGTCTACAGTCACATCATTTCATACCATTACTATTACGAATAATCTTTGGTTTCTTTATAGGCAAATAGGTAATTGAGGTTGACAATCCAGTATGTCAGATCTGATGACGTGCTGTTCTTCGTAGAGACGAGCAAATATTAATTGCAAGCATTCATATATACCAAGTTCTTAGAAAAGGGGCCACAATTGAACTCGACAATAGCCATTTTACTTTTTTTACCTTTTAATTTGCTTTGAAATGAACTGACAAAAGGTTTGCTTCATGATATATACTGTAAGAACTAGTATTTTTATAAATATTTGAAACTTACTGGATAATGTTGTATTGTTTTTTTTGTGTATGTATTGTTTGTGATATAAATGTAAATATGTAGTTACCGTATTGTAAGTAATTTGTAATGGTAGCTTATTTTGTTAAATAAATAAATAAAATAATATATTATTATATATTTGATACTAATTACGGTTATCATATTCTTCATAGAATTGCAAACGAAACATTTTTTATGAGTGTGCCATTACGTCAATAAATTTAAATAAATTAGCAAAAAGTAGGTTGTTCAAACAGTTTCATTTCAGTGTTTAGACTTGAAGTGAGAGGTTGACTGTTAGGTAGCGTTTAAGTGATGAAGTTTTAACTGATTAAAACGTGTACAAAATTATACACAATATTGGAATATTTGTTGTAAGTAAAATTTAGATATACAGACAAAGTAATATTACTTAGTTGCACAGATTAAACAATGTTTTGATTTGTAGTTCATCGCGTGCGCATCTGTCCATAAGACCTTGGAATTAATAACACAATTATTATTACTGTAATTTTTATTTATAGTTTGACGTAACACCAAAGAGTTACTATATTATTTAAGGCAGTGGGCCATACCTTATGTCAATCACATTTAAATGTGATAATCTGTGGTCAGTCAGTCTTTTCGTTTATTACTTGCTTCAACTCTATAAAATTTGATGAAGTAGTATGAGACTACAATGTACATAGATATTTAACAACGCTCTTGATCTAATGACCGATTCACGATGTAATTAAATAGAACTATGTATATTTAGATTGCAAAAAAAATCACTATTAGAAGTAACAATGTACTGCTATTTCTGCAAGACTATAATGGGGCGTTCCCACGGAGCGTTAATCACGACAGTCAACTACGCTAGTCAACTGTCGTTCGTGACACTCACGAAAGTGTGAATTGATGAAACGTTCACATGGTTGGGGGATTTCGTGCCGTTCACGCTTCGTGTTTCGACTTAGTCATTATCGAAACATCGATCATGAATGATCTGGTTGTTGAAAGTTGTGCTGTTTTAAGTTCGGTTTTTGCTACTATCATAGCAAAAAAGATTGACACAAGAAAACGAAAAAAAAGACGTTCATTCATGACTTATTCTCATAGCTGCGGCGGCACGTAAATCTCTATCACGGTATTCCTCCAAACTTGGATCATATAACACCTTTTCCATAGAATATAACTCCAAAAAACGCGTAGTTTCACTGTCGTTAAACTTAATTCCACGTTGTTGTGACGACATCTTGGCTTCACGAACGGTATATCACGACTGAAAATCAAACACGTTTGATCTATCCACGCTTGTGTCGTGCGCCGTTCCTCACGAAAGCAAGTTTAACGCCTATGCGTTCACACAGAAGTGTATTTCACGAAAGTGTGGTTGACTGTCGTGATTAACGCCTCGTGGGAACGCCCCTTAAGAAATTCTTTTGGAGAGAAAGTTGTCTTCAACCCATAGTGTATTAAGACAATTTTTATGTAACATTATTAACAGTCATTTTAAATTTTTAACTCACACAGCTGGACAGCTTTTAATAGAAAATAAATATAGCTTTATATTACTCAGGAATAATGTAGCATTTTAATGTTGAGGGATTTTTTTTAAATTGTTCTCAAAATACTTTCCTCTTGATAAATAGTTTAGATTTCGTTAATATTTGAATTTAGGTGTTAAAAAATTAAAAATCACACATTAGTATGATTTTTAAACCATTAAAGATCGTGTAACCTTCTTAGATTTTATAAAGTAAATAAACAATTACAGATTCATTAAAAGAAAATTCTGTGATTAAAGACTAACTCAATAAATATGTAATATATACATTTCCTATATTCCGACTATATACAATCTATCTTTAAACTTGGCGTTTAGCCATATACGAGTATGTTACGCTGTTATACAATATTATATATTTTACAATCTATTGAGTTGTCATTCATATTATCGAATGTTGATAAAAATCTTACCATTCGTCATTTAGTATGTCGTAATGTGAGAACGGTGCCATAATGGGGAAGTCATGGATTACGCCGTTTAAAAAACAGGTATTGATTTGTATTTACTTTTGTTTTATTTGCGTTTGTATGCGATTTTATTTAAATGAACAAGTTTATGTTGCTAATAAAAAACCTCAAACCTTTTTACGTCTGGGCCTTTGATTTCTGCATCTGTTTCATGATCATTTGTCAATCTAATAGACAAGTAGGTGATCAGGAAGCTGATGTCCTGGTGGCTGGTGGCTGACACTGTCGACTTTTTGGGTTTAAGGCAAGCCGGTTTCCTCACGATGTTTTCCTTCACCGTTCGAGTGAATTTTAAATGCGCACATGAAATAAACATCATTGGTGCACAGCCGGGGATCGGACCTACAACCTTAGGGATGACAGTCGCACTCTGAAGCCATTAGACCAAAACTGTTCGTATGTCGTTAATAGTTTATATATTTACTATATTAATAGGCATAAGTTGCACCTCGCCTCGGTCGCTATATTACATATAAAACGGATCTTTATTTACATTAAAGCAAGGTCGTAGCTTATCAGTTACAGTTAATTAATTTTTTTTAATTAATTTTTTTATTAAAAAAAAGCGATATTTGCATGCGCCACAAGCTTACTGAAAGAAACCCAACGAATTAATGAACGTCTTTATTGAGACGTGATGAAACATAGCAATTTGTTTTGATGATGAAATGGATCTCGTGCGACAAGTGTCAAAAAAGATCGTAGTGATAGATCAGTCAGGTTTCACAGACTGCGAAAAACGTGTAACTAACTCTTTTCTTACTCCACGTCGAATTGGTGTATATTGCTATTGGTGGTGATGTTTTGGTTGGTTAAAGGGACATTTTGCAGTTTTTATAACACATGATCGCATTATACAATATTTAATAGATTATTTTATTAACAATTGAGGCAACGCTCTTTGTTGTTTACATAAAGTAAAAACGTACATCGAGTGGTTCATTCGATTCATGAGTGTCAGGTACTACAAATCTAGTAAATTACCTATTACAACGTTTATCAATTGCATGGTTTATAGATTAAATTAATTATAGATATTTTAAAACTGATAATTCAATCACAAATATAGTATATTTTTTAATACTTTAACTTGACATGGATATCTGTTAACCCTTAATTAAACAAAACGAAATTGAATAATTTTAATATATATGTATATATTTTTGTTTCTGAAATGTTTACATTTATTGCATTATTCGATTTAAAAGATAACATTTGTACACAATTGAAACAATTAAAAAATTGGGGATGTCCAAAGCAAATATCTAAAGCCCCGTACTACGCATGAGGCGGACTCATTTCTCCGTCCGTTTCAATGATATTGGAAAATAGGTGATTGACCTTCTTTATAAGCAAGGCTCTTCTCTCTAATACCGGTTACATCACGATATTTTTTCTTCACCATTAAACATATATGAAGATGTATGTCACGTCGTTTGCATATAGTGCAGTCATATATAATCTCTACTAAAGAATGTTAGAAATGGATCGCCCTGCTCAAGATTTCTATGTATTTTGCAGAATGATAAAAAACAAATTCAAATAAGCGCTTAGTACTAATTGTGGTATATCCCCAATTCGGTTATCAATATTGTTTATTTTATCGCTAACTAGATATTATGCTTCACCGATATTTACATAGATTATCGTATTAAGCTACTTGCTGTTACCGATCGAAATACGCGGTCTCTATATTTAACAAGCGTTTATCATTTACTAAACCTAATTGTGGTATTACATCAGAGAATTTCTTCTATGTTCATTAAAAATAACTATTAATTATTTATCTGAATGAAAGTAAAATAAATGGGGATTATATTAAACGCGTTTTATTTCGTAAAGTTATATGTGTAATTATTTGAAACAATAACAATTAATTGTGGTATTTAATCAATATAATTATTTTATAGTAGTACGGAGTACCTTAATTAATTTCGATGCTTTGAGAGCAGGATCAATCACGGAACGGAGATCTTAAATTTGCTTTCCGAGAAAATCGAATTCGCTGTTACTTCAGTGGTTTCGCACTAAAAATGATCAAACAGACGCATAAGTTTTCCTAAACGTTAAGGCTAAAATTATTATATTTCTTTTCAGTGTTTTGTTACCCTGGGTGTATCCCTAAACCTATCATCTCATGGATTAACAATGGGCTTTGCAGCCATTGCGCTGCCTCAGTTACGACAGCCGGACTCCATCATACCAATCGACGATGTTACCGGATCTTGGATATGTAAGTTTATTTTTATTTTATTTATTGAGAAAGATTTACAGCTTATATCTAACTTATTCTTTTTACGCCATTAAACAAGTCTTTACATATAATTAAGTAGTTAATAATTAACTGGATTGGTAACAATAAAATCATTTTAATCCAAAGAAAGCAATAAAGTATAAACTAAAATTTGTTAAGGAACACTTAGGGAATATAACTTATACACTTATAAAAACTTATGGTACACTATTTATACTCGTATATCAATTTTTTTTACTTGTGTAAATAATTCTTCTAATTAACAAAATAATTAAATTCTTACGTTTAATTACATATCTACATAAGATTTTGATTTTACCAATCCTTCTAATAGCGGGTGGTCTCCAATTAGCCTATGTAATTTCTAATATTTTTTCCATCAAGTCTTACAATTTAAACTGTTTGTTACGTATTAAAATTCAAGTGGATGATTTGGAATCTATAGAATAAGGTAATCTTCCTAAATGATGCAGCCCCAAGGTCTAAGTTGTTGAACTGATAAGATAAAAAAATATTGTTTCGCAAATATATTTAATGTTTTGTTTAAATATTGTGTAATTTATTTTCTTCCTTGTTGTCTTATTACTGATGTTGCATGATAAATATTAAGCTATTATATAATATTTCACAATCTTCTCAAAGTTAATTTTAGGGTTAAAAATACATAACACCACTTTAAGAAAATTTTAACTAAGAAATAAAATATTACCTTATAATATTATTATATACCTACTTAGGTATATTTTTATTATACTTAAGCGAGAGTTATTTCCTTTAACGACTGCAAGAACAAGACTAATATTTAATAATATAGTTCTAGTCAACGTTATCAAAATCAATTCAACAATTTAAGCATAAATATTTAACAAACAAATTAATGTTGACAACAAAATATTTTTGGCCTACAAACATATTATGTATATTTCATCTCTTTTCAGCCGCTATCCTGGGCTTCGCTCTGATCTTCGGAAACTTTATTATTCCAACGGTGATGGCGAAAAATGGCCGCCGAACAGCCAATATTCTCAGCATTATCACCATGCTTATAGGATGGTTCTGCGTTATTCTTGCCACTGATATCAAAGTCTTTCTTGTTGGAAGATTCCTAAAAGGAACCGCAATGGGAATGACAGCATCTTTGGGTCCAGTTCTCATCGGAGAGTACACCAGCCCTAAAAACAGAGGAGCATTTTTAACAACTATTTCCCTGTCGATTGCTGTTGGAGTTCTATTCGCTCACACGTTAGGAGCATTCTTCTACTGGCAAACCGCAGCCCTAGTCATTGCGTTCGTCATGTTTCTCGACTTACTGATAATTTTATACTCCCCAGAAACGCCAGCCTGGCTCTCTGATCAGGGACGATATGAAGAAAGTAGAAAAGTATTCAGATGGCTGCGAGGAGACGGTGAAGAAGAAGAATTGAAACGTATGATTGAAACCAGTATGATCGTCAGAGAGGCTAAGACTGAAGTGGTTATAGAAGAAAGCTTTTCAAAAAGGCTGAAAGCGAATATTGCATTCTTCAACACAACGATACAGAAAAGGGAATTTTATAAGCCAATTTTCATAATGATCCACATGTATACATTAAGCCAGTGGGCCGGGGCGAACATATTGGCTGCATACACTCTGGATGTCTTTACACTTGTAATTGGCACAGATGTTAATATATACTTAATGGTCATAACGTTGGGAGCCCAAAGAATCATCTCCAACGGGATTGCAGTGTGGGTGATCAAGAAAGTTAAAAGAAGAACCATGCTGTTTGCAACAGTGGGACTAAACATATTTGCCTTTTTGGCGATTGCAGCGTATAGCTATCTCAAAGTACATAACATGCTGCCATACGATCATCCCTTTATAGGAATTCTGCTGATTCATATCCACATGGTTACCATTGCGACGGGTACAGTGCCGCTACCATTCATTATCGCTGGAGAACTATTTCCATTAGATTACAGAAGTTTAGCGGGTAGTATAAGTGTGTTCTTCCTCTCTGGAAACTTCTTCATAATTCTGAAGACTGTTCCATTTCTCTTTAAGAACATGGGGATACATGGAGCATATGTAATTTACGCTGCCATTGTGGCATATTGTCTTGTTATTGAGTATTTCTTCTTACCGGAAACGAAGGACAGGACGTTGCAAGAAATTGAAGATGAATTTAGAGGACGCCCGCTCTCACCAGAAGAATTGAAGTCAACACAATCGCTGACAGCTCAAAAGCATAACCAAGATAGACGGTGTAGTAGTCCAGTTATTTGATAAGAAAAGCAGGAATCGAATTTATTACCTAAGATGACTCTATTTCTTAATGTTTATAATAGGGAACCTCTTATCTCGCAAATTTTGAAATACCGTCTTCGGTTAGAGATTCTAATGGTTCCCGAGTTGAGATATTTTAGTTCGAAAGCACGGAATGCAGCTCCGTATTTATTAGTACAAAGAACAGTAGAAATTCGTGACAATTAGCTAAGACAGGTTTCAAAAACCAACTATCATACATGTATTTATATTAAATTTTTCATAAGAAACACATTAGGTTAATTTATTTGTCCTTTGCATTTTTAAAATGTAATAAATGTAAGATATTTATCTAATATAACATTGTACTCACTATTTATCAGAAGTCTTAAAAATTTATTGCCGAATGCATTTTAATAGTGCTACTTATTGATACGGGAAGATAACAGGTAACCTACTTAGTAACTTTCTTTAATCTTATACAAAAATTTAGCAAAATTGTATCCTTTTCTACAATTTGATAATTTAAATTGATAAGAACTTACATGTTTCATTTTCCTATTAACGAATGCAAATGAGCTTGTCATTTCCTCTAATTTAAAATACTGGAGCCGTCAATAATTATATTCTTTAGCTATGTTCTCGCTTAGCAAATTTCAACTAAAAATATTATTATTATATTTTTTTTTATAAATTAACAGAAAACGTTTTTGCTCTCCATTAATATTTCCTAATTAAATTTTAATGTCACAGTAAATATCCCCATATGCTTCACACATAGGCGAAGAGAAAACTATAAAGCTGCGAGAGTAAGCGGGGGAGATTGTTGACGCTAGACAGCAAGAGTCGAATACACAGCAAAACGGTTTTGTTTCCGGCATCGGTGAACCTTATAACTCTCAACACGTTTCTATTCTACTTGCGATCTTCTCGCGTATAAAGAAAAAGGAATTACCAGGGAAACATACAGGTGTAAAGTCACTACTTTTATTTAACTCCGTCACATATAACTGATATTTTAGTCATTATAAGGGTGACGTGACACTTTTCTGTTGTACAATCTCAATTTATAGATATCGAAATTCGAGACGCAATAAATTAAAGCAATAAAACACAAAAATAGATCTAGAAAACTCTTTTTTCTTCACAACATACAAGTCACCATATAAATCATTATTATTACAACATATATTTATACATCTACTTACATTCTGTGGTTTAGCTTAAATATATGTATGTCAATCAAAACGCTTATAAATAGCTATCTCTGTTTAACATATACTTAAATTAAGAGAAAGCTATACAAGCCACTCGATTGGTGTTTAAGTATTAAGTATGTATTGTATATATATTTAATATTATATATATCAACGGCACGCCTTTGTTTGATCGATGCCAAATAATTTTAGTTATATACTAAATCAAACTATTTGTATGACTCAAAACTTAGCGATTAAAAAGAGTGACGGAAAGTTTGTTGCCAGTTCTTCTTGCCCGCTCTATGCCCTTGACTTGCGAACTGGTAGTAAATGTAAATTTATAATGAATGTAGCTTTTTTTGACGCTCATAAGTGTACTTGTTTACCTATATGAATAAAGATATTTTGAGTTTGAGTTTGAAATCCCGGCGAACTTCGTACCGCCTAACAGGCAATAAATGTCGTGTTAACACACTAGCTGAACATAATGTATGACATGAAAGTATACAAAATAAATTTAATACTATCACTGACTTGCAATACTCAAAGTTACAATGTGCCTTGATTTGTTGTATATATAAGTAGCATTTCCTTTAAATAAAATTAATATGACAATCCTTTTCCATTACTGACATTATTCTAGATTTTTTTTAAATCAAAAATACGCTAATATACGAATATTTTGGATATATCTTGTCGATTCCAATACTTTTTAAAATTCGTTCTGGAATTTGAGGAGGGAGTTTACCGTATTGAACATTAAATGTTTCTCAGTTACGAAACACACGACCATTTTGTATTGGAATTTTTAATTTCTTTTATACAATTTTTGTCAACGTTCCAATATTTTTAATTAAGTATTTTACAACAAATCAAAAACCACGAAACACGGTTCAGCCGTTCTCAAGTTATAAGTTCGAACAATTTTAACGTACTATTTTAATTCGTGTCAAAGAAAACAATGTCAAACAATGACGTGCCGTTCGTACGTTTAATTTACATAATATACAGATATCGAGGCACCATACTATGTATATAAAAATAATTAAAATACTACATTTCTTTCGCTTGAAGTTCCATGTTGTCACTTATAACTAGGTTATTCCAAATTTTAAATTGTTAAGATTCCGCTCTAACATTCCAAAAAGGTTTCCAGGTATGACTTGATACCATTGCCGTAAAATAATAACCAATTATTTCAACATTTAACAGTCATTTAAATTAACGTCGGTGATATTTATATCCATAACACAAGCAAGCTTACCACCCACATAAATAGCGATCCCATTTTCGTACCACGTAATTCCAAGTTCGACACCAACCATAAATTAATTATAACCGTGATGACGTCATAAAAGTTCTTTATCGGGATGGTCAATTAATTAGTAAATAATTTACATTTAAGTTACGTTGTAGCTGCTGGTAAGTGCGGGACTATGCGAGTTATAACTATATATCCGAGATATCTAGCGGGTCGAGACATCTAATAATTCATTAAAAAAATATTTCACATATTTTTGAGTAGATTTTTTTTTTTAATTTACGGCATTGTATCAGTCTATATATAAATGTTTTTCTTTTCTCAGATATATTTTTGTGAATATATGAGGAGACTAAAAGAATAAGAACTATTTTTCTTCAATTGTCAGTAAAGTTATTTGAAATTATATAAAAGAAATATTTCGTTGACTTCAATAAATGTAATTAATATCTAAGTATAAAAAGTGATTTTGCTTTTTAAATATAACACCCTGTAAACTAACAGTAAAGCAAAGACTGTTTTGCAAATTCTAAGCAATATTAAATTATATAAAATTTACGAAATATAGTTTTTGATAAATATTAGGTCCTTACATATGAAATTGGCGTATTTCGTACTGGCCACTTTAATCACGATGTTATCCTCTTTGGTAAGGAATTCCAAATTCAAATTTGTACAGCTATTTACTCATGTATTTGTGCTTCGATGACCGTTATTCATTTGTTTTTTTCTTGTTTTTTTCTGTTTGCGTCACTCATTTTACAAAATGGAAAACTTAAAGTATCGCATTATTTACGAGTATGAGTTCCGCCGTGGCACTAGTGCTGCGGAAACGACTCGAAGGGTGAATGATGTGTATGGCGGTCATGTTGCAAAAGAAAACACAGTTCGTTTTTGGTTCGTTTGGTTTTTTTCGTTGTGAAAATTTCGACCTGCAGAACAAGCCCCGTGGACGGCCTGAGACCCAAGTTGATAATGAAGTATTGAAGTGCTAATTGTGGAAGCGGATCCATCGAAAACCACGTCCGAGTGAGCTGCAGGCTGCGGTGTTAGTGATAAAACTGTTTTAATTCACTTGAAGCAAATTGGGAAGATTAAAAAGCTTGAAAGATGGGTACCTCACGAATTAACTGAAGCAACCCGGCAAACGCGCGTCGACTGCTGCGTTACATTACTGAACCAGCACAATAATGAAGGTATTTTAAACCGAATCATTACCTGTGATGAAAAATGGATTCTTTACGATAATCGGAAGCGCTCAGCGCAATGGTTGGATCCTGGCCAGCCAGCCAAATCCTGCCCCAAGCGAAAATTAATCCCAAAAAAGTTACTTGTAAGCGTTTGGTGGACTAGTGCCGGTATTGTTCATTGCAGTTTTCTCAAATCTGGCCAGACTATTACGGCTGATGTCTATTGTCAGCAATTGCAAACCATGATGGAAAAGCTAGCGGCTAAACAACCAAGGCTGGTCAATCGCTCCACGCCACTGCTACTTCACGACAACGCTAGACCACACACTGCACAACAGACGGCTACCAAATTAGAAGAGCTTCAATTGGAATGTCTAAGACATCCTCCGTACTCCCCGGACCTTGCTCCAACAGATTACCATTTTTTTCGAACTTTGGACAACTTCTTGCAAGGGAAAAAATTTAACTCTGATGGGGCAGTCCAAATCGCCTTCACAGATTTTATTGATTCCCGTCCGACTGGTTTTTTTAGTAAAGGGATCAATGAACTACCTATGAGATGGCAAAAGTGCATAGAAAACAATGGTTCATACTTTGATTAATTAAATATATTATATTTAAAAATATTCGCCTTTTTGTTCCTCCCATACAAAACGCCAATTTCATATGTAAGGACCTAATATTTTATAAAATACACCAATTTGAACATTGTAACAGAAAAATGTAAGTAAAAAAAACGTGTATGTACTTATGTACACGAGTTAGAAGTTATACTTCTTTGGCGTAATAATTTTCTTCGAGCACTTTTGAGGGACGTTTCCCTCTTCGAATTGCATTTTTCTTGTCCATTTTAATGGTCACTTCCAAACGAAACGATATAATATGTACTAATCATTATATTTTACAATAAATACTATGTTTTTTATCACATTGGAACGGGTTTTCTAGTATAGAATTAATCATTATTTTGGATTAAATTAACACGACTCTGAAAAACACTACGCCATGACAGACAATGCAACTTGTCGATAAAACAAAGCAAGCGCCAACTAGCGGTCCAGACTGTTTTACCGACGTTTGAACAGATATTCAGGGTGTCGGTTTTTTGTGAATGTGTGCAGATGTCGGTTTTTGTGACGGTGTGCGCACGCATCGTAAAAATTAACTCTCATCATTTTTCCCTAACGCGACCAAAGAAGTATAACTTCAAAAATTATTGAAATTAAGCATAATAATTTAAAGTATGAACCGCAAGCATGCGGCATGGATCAGCCTACGTGCACATCAGCCCACACCAGCAATACTAAGTAGATTTGGAAATATATATTACGTGTTATTGTAAATTCGCAAAACAGTCGTTGTAGCTAACAA